GGCTGCGGTGGCCGGGAGCAGCCACTGCACTCCAGTATGGGTGACAAGGTGAGACTCCAACTCAAAAAAAAAAAAAGTTATTGCCATTCTGCAAATAGGAATATTAGACCTAAATCTGCAAAAGTTCGTAAGACATAATTGGTAAAACAGATATTAAAATTCCCCAAACACCCAGCATTATAAAGGATATCTATATATATACTTGCATTATTGTGTGGATTTTGAGTTTGGCTACTTAGCATATACTAATAAAATGATTAGGAATAATCTAACCATATTTGCCATAGTGTAAGCTAATGGTCATGAGAGGTTAAAAGGGGGAAAAAAGTAACATCCACTGTTAATGCAACAATCATGCTCTCCTAGATTGGGAAAACCAGTATACACAGTATCATCAATGGTTTTTTCCCACAGCACACAACCCAAATGACCTTAATAAGCGAATTAATTCCTGACTATGTGGGCCAGAAATGGTGGCTCACACCTGTAATCCCGGCACTCTGGAAAGCAGAGGTGAGAAGATTACCTGAGCCCAGAGGTTCGAGATCAGTCTGGGCAACTTGGCAAGCCCTCATCTCTACAATAAATCAAAAAATAAAAATAAATTAGCGGCGTATGATGGCACGTGTCTATAGTTCCAGCTATTTGGAAAGCGGAAGCAGAAGGATTGTCTGAGCCCAGCAGGTCACGGAGATGGTGCCACTCCACTCCAGCCTGGGCAACAGGGTGAGACTCCTACTAAAAAAAAAAAAAAAAAAAAAAAAAAAAAATCCCTGACCACGTGGTTTGTGGTGTGACTAAACTGTCTTTAAGAGGTAAAGCACATGTGTGCCACAGATGTGGCAGGAAAGTGTGTGACCTCTGTGTCAGTGTTCTCTCCGCCTCTGAATCTTTTCCTCTATGGCTCCCTATAATATTCATAAGAGGAGAAGGAAAAGACAACCTTAATTTGCTGCTTTGCCCTGGGGAAGATGAGCAGAGCCTACTCTGAGCACCTTTTTCTTTGTCCAACCAGAGCCAGAGACCTCTAACTAGAGTTTCTGCCTGTTCTTTGCTGTGACTTCCTGTACCTTACACAGCTCAGTTCATCTCCTCACTTGAGCAGTACTGTCTTCAAAATACATCATTACAGACACAAAAGAGAACTGCCACATGGAATCATTAGTATTTGTGTTGACTCCATCAGGTGGGAGAATTTTTAAGTTGGAGTCTCACTCTGCCGCCCAGACTGGAGTGCAGTAGCCGCTCCCGGCCACTGCAGCCTCGACCTGATGGCCTCCAGCAATCCTTACGCCTCAGCCTTCCAAGTAGCTGGAACTACAAGGGCGCGCTACCACACCTGGCTAATTTTTGATTTGTTGTAAAGATGAGGTCTCGCCAAGTTGCCCAGGCGGGTCTCGAACCCGCGGGCTCAGGCAATCCACTCACCTCGGCCTCCCAAAGTGCTGGGATTACAGGCTGAGCCACCGAGCCCGGCCTGAGGATCATTTTCTTCCGAGATATCTTGTCTGAATAAAGGTAAGCCCTGCTGTCTGAAACGCCCGTTAATTAAGACCTAGGATGGAGTCCCCCTGGATTTTCCAGAGGAGTGTAACTAGTGGCTTCATTAGGTGTGGCTTGGCTTCTGGTGGCTTGGCTTCTGGCCCACAGCTTGCTTTAGCCTCTCCCCGGCAGGAACCTTCATCACCAGTCTGCAAGCCTGCTGGGGCCTGGGCCAGCCCAGGTGAATCCTGAAAAGAGCTGCCCATTTCCACTGGCAGGAAAATGATCTTGCAAATGTTGTTTCTGTAGCAGAATAATCTGATAACAACTTAAGCTGGGGTTTGGAGCACCACATAGAGAATGCTGTGTTCCCTAGCAATGAAACCTTAGTCTTTTTGCACTGAATACAGTATAACTTTCCAGTGGTCTCAAGACCCAGCATTTTTATTTACTACAAAAGAGTCAAACATGTCACTTCATTCTGTTTCTCCTTAGATACCGGAAGGGCTTAATTCAATTCCAAATCACCACAATGCCTTCTCCAGGTCATCTTGCTTCTTTTTCTTTTCTTTCTCTCTTTTTTTTTTTTTGAAGACAGGGTCTTTCTTTGTCATCCAGGTTGGAGTGCAGTGGCACAATTAATAGCTCGCTGCAGCCTCAAACTCCTGTGCTCAAGCGATCCTTTTGCCTCAGCCTCTTGAGTAGCTAGGACTACAGGTGTGCGCCACCACATCCAGCTAATTTTTTAAAAAGGAGAGAGGGAGGGAGGGGTTATAAGGGGCACCCACTGGGTACCACGTTCACTACTAGGGAAAGAAAGGGCTCCCTAGAAGCCCAAACCTCACCTTCGTGCAATTTACCTATGTAACAAATCCTCACATGTACCCCACAACTCTAAAATTAAACACAGCAACAACAAACATTTTTTAAAGATTGAGGTCTCACTATGTTGCCCAGGCTGGTCTTAAACTCCTGGCCTCAAGCCATCCTCCTACCTCAGCCTCCCAAAGCTCTGGGGTTACAGGCGTGAGCCCCCACACCCCACCTTGATTTATTTTCCTTCCAAACACTTATCTACCTACTGCACACATTTTGGTAAGTAGAACATCCAGACTCACATGTTACATCACTGCCGTGTGTAGAAAACCTTATTTCTCCTGCCTATTGAGTTGCAAGCTCCTGGAGACAGGAACACTGACGTATTTATCCTTTATTTCCCCTCAGCAAATGATCAGAATAAAGATGCCCCAGAATGCATCAATAGATAATTGTTCAAAGACAAAGTGAAGTAAGATTAGCCTTTGCCTACCAAAGAGAAAACTAGTGAGATCTAAGATAATGAAAATGTGGGGTATTTTCAAAAGAAAAAAACCATTTCAGTTGGTCATTGTTTATCTGTGTGTGGTTCATCTACTTGGTAGGTATCCACTCCAATTTAAATTGCTAACTGGATATCAAACCCCCAGCTCCGCTTTGGTCGGTCATTTCCTACCACTTGGGTGGCTTTTGTGCCTGAGAATGCCTAAGCAAACCTTCAGGAAATGGAGAGGCCAGGCAGAAAAAAAAAAAAATGGAAAATAGTACTGGAGCAGGGTTAGGAGAACTAGTTTTTTATTCTTGTTGCATAGAAAAAGGCAGAACAGACTGTCCTGGTTCCTGAATAAGCCACACACTTGACATCACCAATGTTTCTGTGCCCTGCTGTGCCTGGCAAAACCTGCTCCTCTCTTAAATTCAGACTCAGATCTAACCTCCTCTGTGAAGCTGTGCAACAGCCTCAAGCAGAATTAATCATGTCCTGTCAAACTCTCTGTCTTGTCTGTTCACAGTGCAGTAACAAAATGCCATAGAAGAAGGAAGTGGCTTATAAACAACAGAAATCTATTTCTTACAGTTCTGGAGACCGGGAAGTCCAAGATCAAGGTACTAGCAGATTTGGTGTCTGGTGAGGGCCCACTTCTGGTCCATATATGGCTGTGTCCTCCCATGGCAGAAGGGGTAAGAGAACTCCTCAGAGCTGCTTTTATAAAGGCACTAAACCCATTCATCTAGGTGACCTAATCACTTCTGAATGCCCCACTTCTTAATATCTTTACACTGGAGGTTAAGATTTTAACATGTGAATGGGGAAGGGGACACACAAGCATTCAGTCTACAGCATGCTGTTAGGTTAGTATAATGCTGTAACTGGCTGTCCATGTCTTTCTTTATATTAAATTGTGAAATTCACTGAGTTGTACAAGGAATTTATTCAAGATAATAAAAAAAAATTTAGTTTCTTACTTATGTGAGAATAATTGAGGCACAGAGAGTTTCAGTGGCCTATTCAAAGACCTAAACCAAATCAGTAATAATGTATGAACAGACCCCACTGCTTCTGACTCCTGCATCACAAGCATTCAACCGCCTGAATGTGTCTCAGTGAAAGAAAGTCCATCAGCCATGAATGAAAAGAAAGAATTAGATGAGAAGAGGGTGCCTGTCTGCCTCTGAGCTGCTGATGGACTAAGAATCCTGGCTTGCTGTGATGACCCAGAAACGCTACCAGAGCCTGCTCTCCCAGGACACTCCATCAGGGCTCTCCTAAAGGGACCCAGAAGACCCACTCCACTCCCCAGTGTGGCCCTTTCCACAGTTTGAAGTCGTGGTTTAAAATCAGTAGCAAATCTGGTTTAAAATCGTTCGTTCTTCCATAGAGGAGCTGCATTTGAAGTCACTCTACTCAGCTCAGATCCATAGCTGTGATCTATCACCCAGCATCAGCGTTCAGCTCCGATACATTGCAACTACCCACCTGCCTACCCTGCAGTGTCTACAGAGGTTGTGATGATTTACCACTCAGAATTACCTTAGCTCCAAGATCTCAGATTTGAAATTCCTCCTCCCTGACCACATTTCTGACTTCCATGTGTAATGTTTCCTCACACCTGCTGGACACAGTCACAGGGTGCCTCATAACCTCCAGTCTTCCACCCATTCTCTCTTAGTCCACTGGCTGCATGTGGCCCTCTGTCACCCCCCACAAACCTGCCCAGTGTCACTTCTATCTCAGTCAGAACTCCTCACCCTCCATCACCCATGCCTTTGCTGGGTCTGCCTGCCTGGCTTCACCTTGATTACGTCTTTCATTTTTTTTCCTCACTAGGCACTGTGTATCTCTATAGAAATCCATTACATGTTATAAAACCATTAAGAATTCATGCATTTATCCTCAACAAGTCTTAACTATATCCATCTGCATGTCCCCATCACACCTTAAACATTGTATGTTCAAAACTAAGCTTCTCCTGACATACCAAGTTCTATTATTGGTGTGACCAATTTCCTAGTAACCAAGAATTGAAATCAAGAGTGAAATTTGAGGACCAGGCTCAGTGGCTCATACATGCAATCGTTGCATTTTGGGAGGCCAAGGTGGAAGGATTGCTTGAGCCTAGGAGTTCAAGAACTTCCTGGGCAATATAGCAAGACCACATCTCTACCAAAAAAAAAAAAAAAAAAAATCGACAGTCACACACCTGTACTCCCAGTTACTCAGGAGGCTGGGGAGGGAGGATCACCTGAACCCAGGAGTTCTAGGCTCTGGTAAGCCGTGATCGTGACTTCAGTCTGGATTAGAGAGTGAGACCCTGTTAAAAAACAAAAAAAGAGTGAAATTCACTTCCTTTCCTTCCTTCTTCCCTCAACTCCCAGTGATCAAATCCTTATTTATTTATTTTTAAAATCAGCATATCTAAAATCCACCCTTTCTTTCCCCTGCAGACCCATATGCTTTCCCACTTACACTAATGGCGATAACCTCTTAACTGACCTTGGATCCTTCAATTTCTGCTCTAAGTTCCATCTTATTTGATTTGGCTAAAATTCGGCCCAGACCCAAAGTCACTGGCACTAGTCACCTCTCTGCCAACTAAAGCTTACACTCCTGAGCCTGGCAGTCAAAGCCTTCCATGACCTACCCTCATCTGCATCTGCAGGCATCACCCACTGCTTGATTTTCATGCAGAGTCAAACAGAGTAAACAGCTGGGTGTAATGACTCTATCTGTAATCCCAGCACTCGGGGGAGACCAAGGTGGGAAGATCGCTTGAGTCCAGAAGTCTGAGATCAGCCTAGGCAACATAGCAAACAAAAAAGAAAATTAGCTAGGCATGGTGGCACACACCTGTAGTCCCAGCTACTTGGGAGGCTGAGGCGAAAGGATCACCTGAGCCCAGCAGGTTGAGGCTGCAGTGAGTATCCTGCCGCTGTATCTAGCCTGGGCGATAGAGTGACAATCTGACTTGAAAGGAAGGAAAGAAAGAAGGAAGGGAGAGAGGGAGGGAGGAACACCAGAGAAAGTAAAATAGAACATGTCAGGGTAGACCCTGGATGTTAAAGATAAGTACGGTCATGAAATTCCTGGTTTCTAGAATAAAATCTATTTCTTACCAAGGGTTGTATTAAAGTTTGAAAAATACTTATCTATAACGTTTGCTGTTTCTAAACATGCAAACTGTGTGCTGTGACTTTCTAAACTGTGACTTTTTTTTCTTTATTTTTATTGTATGAAAATTTCAAGTATTCATAAGCGTATAGAGGATAATATAATAAGCACCTGTTTGTCACATCTTAACATGTCACTTTTCAGGTTTTACAATATATATGTATGTAGACATGTATGTGTGTGTATCTATGTGTATAGAAATCTTTGAGTGTGTGTACCTATCTATTCAGCACCATCTCCTTCTCTTTCTGTCTCTAAAACAGAAACAACTGAAACCTCCCTCCTGTGTCTACCCATTTCCTTCTCTCCCTTCCCAGCAGCAGTCTCTAGGCACTGAATGGGGTGGTTTTTATTCCCACTGTTTTCACATGAAAAAATTATGAAATTTTAAAGTTATAAATTTATGTATAATGATACAATAAAAATATATGAGACTATTGCCTATAAACAATATATATTTTTCTGGATATTTTTAACCTTGATTCAAATTTTGTGCCTAACATCTTCAGTATGCTTTCATTTCATATATGTTTTGTGTTTTTTCCACGTGAATTGCAACTTGATTCTCTGGTCGGCTCATTTTCTGTGCTGAATATTTTCCATTGTGTGAATATACCACAATATATTTGTCCATCCTCCTGTGGAGGGACACGGAGGGTGTTTCTAGTTATTTGCTATGACAAACTAGGGGACAGTGTAGTCTTCTTGGGTATGTCCATGACATATATGACCTTTTCAGGCTATGTTGCTCAGGCTGGTTTCGAACTCCTGGCCTCCTGGCCTTTGCCCAGGCTGTTCTCTTTAACCTGGAATGGCTTCCTCTTTATCTCTACCTCAGAAAAATGTTACCCATCCCTGAAGGCACCTCTCAGATGCCAGTTTTTCCATGACTTCCAACTCACCCAGTATCTTCCATCAATTCTTCGGCAACTTTCAGTTTGTATAACTTAAGTGACGCCATCCTATACAACCTCTTCCTATAGGAACCTAGGAACTCCCTAGTGGGTCATAAGTTTCTTAGGGACAGGTGTTGTGTTACATGGCATTAAATTCCCTCTCCTCTCTGCTTAGAGCCTCGCAGAGATATTTGCCCAGAGTGGACCCTCAACAACTTGGCTTCCCTTTTTTTGCTACTAAGTACTGCTATCACCATGATCTAATATATATCTCATGATAATGGTATACACCTAAGAGCTGATACACTCCCATGTGCTATCTTTTCAGCATGGGGGTAAAGAGATACCTATCTGTAGCATGAACACTATATGTTGGGAGAAACCAGAGGTACGGGACACCATGAACTCCCCAGTAGCTGGGCTGAATGATCATGAGCAGCTGCCTACATGTAAAGATAAAAGGAAAATATTTTTCATGCTTTTTAATTTTATTTATTTATTTTGTACTTGCCATACACTGTTTTTAAAATTTTTCCTATTTAATAGACAATGGCCTCTTGCTATGTTGCTCAGGCTGGTTTCGAACTCCTGGCCTCAAGTGATCCTACTGCCTCAGCCTCCCAAAGTGCTGGGATTATAGACATACACCTCTGTGCCCAGGACCCTACTTTTTTTTATTGTTAAAGCATCCAAGATACTATATTCATACCAGTAATTTTGTAAGAATTTTGTTCAGAATTAAAAGAAATCAACCACTGGGTGAATAAAAATACCACCAAAAATTGGAGTGGGGACATTTTTCGAGATTGGTGTGGTGCTTTGGCAGACAACTGATGCTTATTGCTGTTTGCGTGAAAAGGACTTATAGAGGGAATCAGTTCCTCCCTTCCCCACCTAGTCCCTGTGACCTCAGCAATGATTCTACAACTTTAGCCTGACGTGAGAGTCACTGACAGCTGTGTATGTTCTGAATGGCCACCAGCACAGCTTCAGGATCCTTGGCCAAGGGACAAGACTGTGGAAGAGCAAAGGTGTCTGTCCAACCACAGATGTTAACCTCCTCCCAAAGTTCAGTGAGGGGAGGAGGTGGAAGAAACCCCTTCCTGATTCCGGAGTAGAGATTCATGCACACTGCGGTTCTTGTTTGTTAGACCTGGAAAAACGAAGCTAAAAAATGGCATGTGGGGGAAAAAATCGGTTCAAATATCCAATGCCACAAACCTCTTTCATTTTTTCATGAGTACAAAGTATTGGCTTAAATGATAGCCAGTTGATACCTGTTTATACCAGTCTCATAAATTGGTAATAAAACATGTCCAGGTCACAGGATTTTTCTAGACAGCTCACCATTCCATGCCATACGATCCATCAGATAAAGAATAACTGAAATAAGTACTTTTAAGCTGCCCTCCCTAAGTTGACAGGAAGGTCAGATGAAGCCTTGAAAATCCTAGTCTTATGAAGGAGTTTACACTTCATATTGGAGGCCAGGCATGGTGGCTCATGCCTGCAAGCCCAGCACTTTAGGAGGCTGAGGTGGGAAGATGCTTGAACCCAAGTAGTAACACCCTGTCTCTACAAAAAAATTAAAAAATTAGCCAGGCATGGTGGTGTGCACCTATATTCCCAGCTACTCAGGACGCTGAGGCAGAAGGATTGCCTGAGCCTAGGAAGTCGAGGCTGTGGTTTGCCACTGCACTGCAGCCTAGGCAACAGTGAGACCTCAACTAAAAAAAAACAAAAAACCTCATTCTGGAAATGAATGTCTTCTCATCTTCCAAGGCACTAAGACTTCTCAGACTAAACAACAACATGCAGACTTAGGAGTAACACAAACAACAAAAATCAAATTCCTGGTATTTGCTTCTAGGTTATAGCTTGATTTTAGAAAAGGTCACATATAAGAACAACCATTTCTCCTGACTGTAACCTAACCTCAAGTCTCAGATGACATCTGATTAGAATCTGTGCAAGTGCCACCTGAGTGCCTGGATTGTTTTTCCAATTCATCTGAAATGTCCGCGTTCAGTTTCTACATCAGTTTCCCATCAATGTATACTTTACAGATAGATACCATCAGATCATCACTTGGGTGCTGCCACAGCACCCATGGGCCCTGGAAGATTTAGACACAGATTGTAATAGCAGCCAAGAGACAAACAACTCCTTCCAGTCCATGCTCAAATCTCACCTTTTCAAGGAGACTCTCCAATCCCCCAAGTGATTTAAGTCTGCATTTGAGCCGGGCTTGGTGGCTCAGCCTGTAATCCTGCGCCTTTGGGAGGCTGAGGTGAGTGGATGGCCTGAGCCCGCGGGTTCGAGACCTGCCTGGGCAACTTGGGGAGACCTCATCTCTACAATAAATCAAAAAATTAGCCGGGTGTGGTAGTGCACGCCTGTAGTTCCAGCTACTCAGAAGGCTAAGGCGGAAGGATCGCCAGAGCCCAGCAGGTCGAGGCTGCGGTGGCCGAGAGCGGCCACTGCCCTCCAGCCTGGGCGACAGAGTGAGACTCCAACTCCAACTCCAAAAAAAAAAAAAAGTCTGCATTTGTGCCCTCCCCAGCACCCCAGAGCCCCAACTCAAATCTATTTTTTTTTCTGTTGTCCGTACTTTGTTTTTTGTACTATTTATCATCTATATCTTAACATATTATTTTCTTTTTCATACTTCTTAAAATGCTGACAAAATACACATAACATAAAATGTACTATCGTAGCCATTTCAAGTGTATAATTTAGTAGTGTTTAAGTACATTCACAGTGCTGTGCAACCAATCTCCGGAATTCTTCATCTTGTAAAACTGTAACTCTACCCATTAAATACCTCCCCATCTCCCCGTACCCACAACTGCTGGCAACCACCATTCTGCTGTCTCCATGAATTTAAAGTAGAGAACACTACTCTGGGTACCTGATATAAGTGGACTTATACAGTATTTGTCCTTTTGTGACTGGCTTATTCCACTTACCATAATACTTTCAGGGTTCATCCATGTTACAGCATATGTTAGAATCTCCTTCCAAGGCTGAATAATATTCCACTGTATGTAGATACCATTCTTTGCTTATCTACTCATCCACTGATGGACACTGGGTTGTACTTTTTGGCTATTGTGACTAATGCAGCTATGAATATGGGTGTATAAATATCTCAAGACACTGCTTTCACTTTTTTTTAATATATACCCAGAAATGGGATTGCTGGGTTTTATAAGTTTCAATTTTTAAAGGAACTGCCATAGTGTTTTCCATAGAAGCTGTGCTTTTTTTTTTTTTTTTTTTTTTTTT